CCCACAAAAATTACTATTAATGTATATACCCAGGCTTACCTTCAGATTTAAAAAAAATGAGAATTATTATACATATATCTAGGCTTGCAAAAAACTTGCTATGTGTGTATATATATATATATATAGCCCACATTATATTAAAAATTTAATACTCTCTCCACTCTTCTTCTTCACGGCTCTACTTGTTTTTTATGATTTTATCCTCAAAATTCTTTACTCTCTCATTCTCTTTTTCTCTTCCTCATGCTATTCGATCTTAAAACTTTTGAAGATTGAAATGGTTGAAGCTTTCACTACTCAAGGTGTCACAATTAGCTTTGTTTTTTTGTTTTATCAGTATTAGGTATGCGTATTGCTCAATTCAATTTAGTTTATTTTATGGTTGAATCATTTTTTTTTTTTTTTTTTTTTTTGGTTTGTAGAGGTTTTTTATTTTAATTTGAGGGGAAAAAATATGGATCTTGTGAGTTTATTTTGTGTTTTGTGTCTAAAAATGAATTTGCTTTCCCAAATTAAAACCTTAAATATAGTTTAAAGGACGTTATTCTTTACCCTTCACCGACCACTTTCCTACATTTCAAAAGTCACCATTCTGCTCCTCAAAATAATTAAAGAAATTTGAGTTATTATTTATATTTATATCAAGAAAATTCTTTTTTTATTTTTTATTAATTCATATTAAAAATCAACACAAGTTGACTTGATTTAAGTTTTGGTTGACTTTGGCTTAAGTTAGGTTTGATCAAAGTCATTACATTAATATTATAATCTTTGGAAGCCAACAAAAAAAAAAAAAAAAAAAAAAAATTAAAATTAAATGAAGGTTTTGCTCAAGGTTTACTTAACACATTTATTCAAAATTTTGCTTCTCATAGATTTATTCAAATAGGAAAGTATTGTGTTATTGCAATCTTTTCTCTCAGGTTTTTGATATTGTATTATTTTATTTGCTTAAGGTTTGATGATTTTTTAAATTTTTCACTAGTTGTTTAACAAACAATGATGAAGCTGCGGAGGCCCCCCTCGACAAAAATCTTGGATCCGCTACTGCGCTTGCCCAATTGCAACTATCACATCGGGATTACGAGATTTGTGAGATTGAATTGTGAGTCAATCTTTATTGAAGTTTTATTTTTGCCTATTACAAAAAAAAATTATGGTATCACAATGGTACGACATCAACAATACGATAAGTTAATACGTGCATGTCATATAAAAATTTAATATATACCTTGTTTATTAATTATTAAGATAAAGAAAAGAGAAAAAAGAAAAAAGAAAAACAAAACTATTACTGGGTGACCTGATGGGAAAAGAGCAAAAGAGGATCTAAGTTTATATGGTCTCCCGAGTAATTCAAGTCCCCACGGTTGTTAATAAGAGTGACCATTGTCCACTGGAGCTTATACCCAACTGGTAGTTCCAGGGGCGGGGGGAATGATCAGCAACATAAAAACATGGACTTGTGCTATGGTTGGTGCGATATTGCCATTATATTCTATATTTTTGACACCTAAATGAACTTAACCGTTGTCATCAGCAAACCCAGTATTGTGAGAATACTTAAAAGTAAATATTCGATCAATTTATTGCTTAATAGTGTCAAATCTGTAATTAGAATCCTCTAAGTAGACCTGATTCAAAGAAGTATTTTTACTTTAATAATTAAGTATTATCTTACAGTCCACCAAAATTGTCTCATAATATGGCTTGGAACCACCAATCTTCAAGAGAAGATATTTGAGTACACTTCTTGTCAAATTAACCTTTATCACATAATAGAAGGCTTCTTGGACTGATTTCAGTTTTCTTGTTAGGCCTAGAGATGGGCGTTTTCCCTGGAAAAACTGGGGACGGGGACGAGGATGGGGACAAGAAAATTTGAGGGTACGTTTGTTTTAGTATTTTGGATAGTATTTTTGAAAAAGTAAGAGTTGAATAGTAATAACGAGGTAGGATTTAAAAATTAACGAAAACACTTCTTAGGTTTGTTAATTTACTAAACATACCTGTAATAAAAATATTAAAAATTATAAAAATATCCCCACCCACCCATTAAATACCAGCAGCCGGCCACCACTGCCAGAGGGTGGTCGGAGGAGTCGTATCGACGCACGACTGGTTGGATGTAGTCGATTGTGCGTCGAGATGACCTTTTCCAACTAGATCCATTGTGGATCTGGTCGAAAAAGCTATATCGGTATATTACCAGTAAGATCCAGTTGGTAGTGCGTCATTATATAAGATTTCGGCCATCTTTCGGTGGTGATGGAAGTATTTTTGTTAATTTTTAATTTTTTTTTAGGATGGTTTTGTTAATTTTTAAACTTTTTTAAGGGGGTGTTTAATTAAATTAAAAGACTTACGGGGTTTAATTAATTAAATAAAATATAATAGTATTTTGATAATAGGAAAACAAACGTGAATTTTGGAAATGATAGAAATAGGAAAGTAAAAAAGGGAAACAAACGCACCCGAGACATCTTTCCCTGTCCTGTACCTGCCCCGCGTTGACATGAAATGATAAATCAAACACAGCTGTTGTAAATCCTAAATCTGAAAACACCCATAGCTGTCACCATTAGAAACATAACTCAACTCCAACTCAGGCGACGGAACCTCTGCCGGGATTCAAGAGTCCTCTCACAACTGTCACTGTTGTCTTATCGAATCTCTTAAATTTATTGTTGGAATCACAAGTTGCCGCCGCCACTATATCAAGCTTGTTCTCTGATATAAGTTCCTCTTTTTTCTTTTTCATGTTTCATCACCTCGTTTGCTTATATCAATAGGAAAATCCGTACGCGGGGAAAAATTTCCGCGGGGATATTCCCCGCAAATTCCCTGTAGTCCGAGGCGGGGACGGGGAATGAGATCCCCGCCCTGCGCCCATCTCTGGTTACGCCTACTTTAGAAAATATTTATGGATAAATAAATTGAAAAAGTAAAATAGATACACAATTAAAATCAAATATTAAAAATTTATAATCAATTAAAAGATAATATGTGGAAATACTAGAATTTTCACCAATGAAATGTTGATTAGTGAAGTCAAAATTATTACTAGTATTATAAACTCTTACAACTTTTTTTTTGTTTTTTTTGTAAATAATTGGTAACTAATAAAGACAAAAGTATTACTTTTAGATTCTACTAAACCTAACTATCAGGGCGTTTGGTTGACGATAATATCATCTTATATTACTTAATTACCATGTTTGGTTGTCAAGTAATATAAGATTTTGGTAATCTTCAAATACCAATAGTAGTTACTATTGGTAATATTGGAGATAATCTGATTACTTCCATTTTCTTAGGTATTCTGAGATTACTAGGGTTATCTTTTTTTGTTACAATTTTATCTCTTATTAATGAAAATTTTGGACAATAATGTCCTTATATTTAAAACAATTTACAGATCACTGCCACTCAGTCACCACCACCACTGCCACTTAGCCACCACCACCACTGCCACCCAGCCACCACCGCCGACAGTGGCCAACCACCACAGACTGCCGTCGAAAACTCGTCGGAGTCCCTAAAAAAGAATGAGTTTCGGTGGGAGGCTCCGGGAGGCATCGAGATGGCCGTTTCCGGCCATATTGATGGCCGAAAAGGCCATATTAGGCTAGATCTGGCCGAAAATGGCCAGATCTATTCTGGCCATTTTCGGCCAGATTGATGGATTTGTCCGTGGCATTTAACGGCCAGATCTCGCCCAGATCTGGCCGATAATGGCTAGGGATCTGGCCATTAACGACCAAGTCCACCAATCTGGCCGGAGCCATTTCCGACCATATCGAAGCCTCTTGGTCACGGTGAGTTGCTGATGCTTTCGGAGACTTCCGGCGGTGGTCTGCGGTGGCGGCAGGAGGTGGGGGTGATTTCGTAATAAATTAAAGTTTTATATAAGTGGGGGTGTTTTAACTAAATCTAAAATATTGGGGATTAAAAGAAATTATTCAAAAATTAATAATAAAAATAATATTATATTAATATTTGTAAAGGAGACAATTTAATAATTTAAATAACATACTCACCAATTTATTCCCCATAAGCAACCATATTAACATAACATACCCACCAACTAACCAAACACATTTTCTTAAAGATTCCCAGTAATCTTTCAAGATAATCTATCTTTTCAGTAATCCAATATTCTCAGTAATCTAACATTCCTGAACCAAACGCCCCCTCAGTAACGTTTTTTTCACTATCATTAGCAAACTTTGGGGACCAAAATGTTACTAAAATATAGAGAGAAAGACTTTGTCCACCCTAAGGTTTCAATAAACTTTCTAGGTCCTGTAATTTAAAACACTTGATTTACCCCTCTTGAATTTGATAAACTTGAACGTAATCCGTTAATTGGGACAGTTTTGATTGTTTGTAGACTAAAATACCTCTTATTTTGATATTTTCTCAGTTTTAAAAGCTTAGATTCTATCCCTAATTGTCTATGTTTTCTTAATGTTTGTTACAATCAGAGGGGGTATATTCCAATACTTAAACTGCAGGACATGTACTATAGTATACCTAAACTAGAGGGATAAAAATTAACTCCTAAAATATAAGATTAAAGTTATTTAAGGTAAACCTGAGGGACGAAATTGTTATTATACCTACATTTAACTCATAGAAGAAAGAAAAAGTCAAACTATTCAAGAAAATTAACAATTTAGTCCCTAAAGTTTGGGTTAAAAAGTTAGTCTATAGAATATGTTAGTAACATTTTGGGCCCTGTTATTAGCAAACCTCACTACCTCAGGGACCAACACGTTACCTGGACAAAATTTTTAAACTAAAATGTAATCATAGACCAAACCTCAGGGCTAAACATATGTTTATCAGAATCTCCATTCACAAGTCATTCATGGGTAATAAATTAGACCGAGGTTTGCGAGAGAGCCAGATGGTGCATTTACAGCCATGAGAGAAACCAATAAAATATTAATGTAGAAAAGTGAAATGAGACCCCATTTCAAGTGGGAAGAAGTTGGTGGCGGTCAAATTGTGGTAGGTGAAGTCTGAGAGTACTTACAAGAAGACGTAGCTGAGTTTGAGACTGAGAAGTGAATATACATTTACACTGCATTACATTGGTGAGAAGTGGCTGTGGCTAGCTGGGAGTGATCATGGAGGTGGTGGAGAACAAGCAAGTGATATTCAAAGGGTATATAGAGAGAGCACCAAAGGAGACAGACATGGAACTCAAGGTTAACAAAATTCAACTCAAGGCACCAAAAGGTTCTACAGCTTTTCTGGTCAAGAATTTGTATCTTTCTTGTGACCCTTACATGAGAGCCCTCATGCGTCAGGGCTCTGGCGGTCATCATCCTCCTTATGTCCCTGGTCAGGTAATTAATATTTAATTATATCTTCAAAGTCTTTTTTTCTTTTTTTTAAATGAATTGTGCAATGAGCTTATTTAATTAGTTGATGATGATGATGAATAGGTGATTCAAGGATTTGGTGTGTCAAAGGTTGTGGATTCTGATAACCCCGATTTCAAGCCTGGAGATATAATTTCTGGGTTTACTGGGTGGGAAGAATACAGCTTGCTTAAGAATCCTGAGCAGCTGAGCAAAATTCAACCTGATGATCAAATCCCTCTCTCTTATCATTTGGGTCTTCTTGGTACGGTAGTTTCCTGGTTTTAATCTTGAGTGTTCTGTTACATTTCTTATGATTTTTACAATGCTCACTGAGAATTTTCTTGTGTTGCATATAACGATATTATGAAGCTGACAATTAGGGTATGTTTAGTTAGTGGATTGGATGGGAATGGGAATCAAAATGGCCATGGAATCGGATTACATTGTTTGCTTGTAATAAGGAATGTTAACGGAATGAAATAAAATTGGTGGGTTTGGAAGAAAATACCATATAATAAGATTCAATGTTGTATCTTTGAAGGAATCTCAAATACTACGTAGATATCAGATCAGCCTTACCATAAGACAATAAGATTCAGTGTTTTTTATCTTTGAACTAATAAGATTAGTGGTTATTCAATATGCTGTACCGTTGATATGGTATTGTAACCGTTATATCATAAACTTTCTCTATATCTTTAAACACTATTTGTTAGGTTCTCTTTCTTTGTTTTTATTCATCAAAGTCATTGAACTTTGTAACTGAAGTATAGACTAATTCTGATACAGGGATGCCTGGTTTTACTGCTTATGTTGGATTTTATGAGGTTTGCGCCCCTAAAAAAGGTGAATATGTTTTTGTCTCTGCGGCTGCTGGAGCTGTTGGGCAGCTTGTTGGGCAGCTTGCTAAGTTGCATGGCTGCTATGTAGTTGGAAGTGCCGGAAGTAGCCAAAAGGTAAGTCTCTTAGGTACATTTGGGCTACTATGAGTAAGTTACCATGAAAAATGGTCTGATGAAAAAGTCTCGTTGAGGTGTTTTAGGTTGATCTTTTAAAGAATAAGCTTGGCTTTGATGAAGCTTTTAACTATAAGGAAGAACTGGACCTGGATGCAGCTTTGAAAAGGTCAGTAAAAAGATTTTGTAAACACACAAAAGATGAAGAACTCATTCTTGTTGTCACAGCTGATGAGGTTCGATCAATTTAAGAAATTGTGCATTCTTTAGGGAACTATCTGTTGATATTCATAAGTGTGAGATGTCAAGTGTGTTAAATTCAGCTCACTGGTTTAAAAGTAATTTGGTTGGATACATTGTTGTGATTTTCAGCACTATTTAAATAGAAGAAACTGTGTTTTCATAACACAATGTTCTAAATTTTTTCCAAAAAAATCTTGCTGTAGTCCCTGAAATGTGATTTCAGAGTTATTATCTTTAAGCAAAAAGAGGAAGAAAGGAATGCGAATTATTGGTTTATTTTGGGTGCTTTGCATTGAAAGTCAAGTAGTTGACAGTTTCTTCTAGGAGAATAAGTTCAAGTAGCAGAGTGGCTTTCCTTTAATCTTTTCTATGTAATGTTTCACTGTTGATTTTTCTTGCTATAGTTCACCATCTCTGCATATCTATTTAGAAGTAGTTCAAACTACTGCCATTGCTATCCTGACATTTTTCCTTCCGAAATAAAAAAAAATATCTTGTTTTAAAGGGGCTTGAGAATGAAATTTCTCTTAGAAAAGATGTACAACACTGATCTTGGAAGCTCTGCCTTGAATTCATGATGTTTTATGCAAGACGCAAATGAATATTATTCTTTGGTTGTGTTGGATTCCACTGATTAATCAATATATTTCTTCAAAATTCCTCCCCATATTGTGCTTCATTCCTGTAAGAAATAACTGCATAGACGACTTACTGACATATTTTCCCCTGTAAAAAACAGGTGCTTTCCACAAGGCATTGACATCTACTTTGATAATGTGGGTGGGGAAACACTTGACACGGCATTGATTAACATGAGGGTCCATGGCCGAGTTGCAGTTTGTGGGATGGTGTCTCTGCATACCTACGGTGATCCTCAAGGGATTCACAACCTGTTCAATCTCGTACCGAAGCGCATTACTATGAAAGGATTCTTGCAGAGTGATTACTTGCACTTATATCACCAGTTCCTGGAACATGTTATCAGCAATTACAAGCAAGGCAAGATCGTTTACATCGAAGACATGAATGAAGGTTTGGAAAGTGCTCCAGCTGCTTTTGCTGGATTATTTTCTGGCAAAAATGTGGGGAAGCAGGTTGTGTGTGTGGCCAGGGAATGATATTTCTCAATTAACATGGCTTGTAGCCATGTTGCGACAATTTTATTTTCGTCGCCAAAATGCATGTTTCGGATAATATTTAGAGCTTTTAGCTATTCATTCTACGGAAAAATGTTACATGGAATCCTCACCTGCTTTCTTTATCTTGTCTTCAAATCTTTTTTCAAGTTACTTGGTTGGCAAGAGATTAATATGTTTCCCTTCATCAACCAATATGTACTTCTAGCGTCATTGAATCGGGGTATTATCAATTACGGGTCATTTCTTTCAAAACTGGATATACAAATACCCATACAAAAGGTAACATAACAGATCTTAATCCTTAGAATAATACAATTGTAATCTTAACCCATCAAAAAAAGTTCAATATAATAAATTAAAGGATAAAATTTTATAATTCTCTTGAGTTAAAAGGTACTTTGTTGTTCTACAAAGTTCATTAAATTGGATTCAATTATTTCACATCGCTGGCAAATGAACCTGGATTCAATTTATAAGCTTTGTGTTCATCCAAAAGATTACAGAACATAAATCTCCTTTTTTAAGTCATGAGATTTCACACTTAGTAGTTGCTTGTCATGTCAGCTTAATTGCACCAAGTCAAATGGGAAATAAGGATGAAACAGTTATACATTATGTTTAAAGGAAAGTTGAGGTGACTTATAATAACTGATTCACATTCTAAATGTGTCAAAATAGTTAATCCACTATCTTGAAAAAGATAGCAGATTAATGATTGTTAATGGTAGCTGCAGTGCTGGAATGAAGGAGAAGATGGAAGAAGAAGCAAAAGAGAAGATGGTGAGTAATAAGCAGATAGTTTTGAAAGAGTATGTAAAAGGGTACCCAAAAGAGAGTGATTTTGTGTTGAAATCTTGTTTGAGTAGCTGCAGCCTTCCAACCGGATGCAGTGAAGAAGCTGTTCTTGTGAAGAACCTCTACCTGGCTTGTGATCCTTACATGCGCCACCGCATGTTGATGAATGTTTTTCATCCTGGCACAATCATTCATTCCTTCACCCCTGGTTCTGTAAGTTTTGACTGTACGAGGAAGTTTTATTAAAAAGAAAAAGAATGATACATTTAATCAGAGGATGTAATAAGCCTTATCACTCAAACACATTCCATGTTACATATTTCAGTTTGATCAAAGTATGTTAAACCCTCTTTAGTTTCATAAAATTCTGTGAAGAGACTCAATCAGCCTTGTTTTTCCTTCTTCTGTTGGCTTGGTATTTCAGGTTCTTGTGGGGTATGGTGTGGCTAAGATCATGGAGTCCACACATCCAGACTTCAAGGAAGGTGAGTTTGTTTGGGGATTTACTGGATGGGAAGAATACTCTATCAACACAAAAAGCCTAACCAAAATCAGATACACTGATGTGCCTTTGTCATACCATGCAGGCATTCTAGGTATGTTTAACTTTCTGATGCAGACAACATTATAAAGGGATTATTATTTGATTGATTTGATTAATAGACTCAAGTGAGTTTTGCAATTATCGGTATTCGTGATGATCAATGAGTTTTGTTTCTTCAATTTCTTAGGTATTCTCAGAATCAATAGGCTATTGAATTTATCCCTCTTATACACTGCATCACTTTCCTTTTATACCAGCTTATGCACTCTTTTAAGTCATTGCAAAGTGGATGTTGTATCTGTTCCTGTTTATCAAGTGATTGATATCATTTTCTTTAATTTCTGAATCAACTTATTCTACCACCGTGTCCTTTTTTCATCTTGTTATAGGGATGCCAGGGATCACTGCTTATTCTGGTTTCTTCAATATATGTTCTCCTAAGAAAGGAGAAACTGTCTATGTTTCTTCAGCATCCAGAGGAGTAGGCCAGCTTGTTGGGCAATTTGCTAAGATGGCAGGCTGTTATGTAGTTGGAAGTGCTAGCACTAAAGAGAAGGTAATGAATGCCTCTAGTTAGGCTTGGCATCAATGCAATGAATCAGCACATCTTACTAGTTAACCTGACATGACCAAAAAACTTCAGGTTGATCTTGCAAAGAGCAAATTTGGATTCGATGACGCCTTCAACTACAAAGAGGAGCTTGATTTAGGCGCAACCTTAAAAAGGTTAGCAAAGTGCATGTTCAGTTTCCAAAATCTTAGTGCAAACTTATTGAATATGTAATATGCAGAAGAATTTGCAAATTGATAAAACCCAGCGGGCGAATTCTCCATCTCCAAGGAAAACCAGTTTGATTTCCTATCAGAAAAACTCCCAATTCCACTTTTAGGGCTTTGACTCTCACATAAAATTCTTGTTTCGACAATTCAAAAGTATGAGAGGGTTTTTTACTAATGGATTGATCTTCAAAATCAGTCTATTATGAATTGTTTTCTCTATCAAAGCCTCAGATTTCTAAATTCTCATAGGCCCCTCTCGGAAATCCTTCCAAAGCTTGTTAAATAATTTTTATGGATTCTGTCATTTCACCCATTCGTTCTAGCACTCATTCGAGTCTAAACGCTTGTAGCATTGCCACAATATTATTTGAACTGAAAGAATGATTGAAACTTTCTCATATACTCCTGTGTTTGTGTTCTGTGACATAGGTACTTCCTTGAAAGCATCGACATTTACGTCGATAATGTTAGGTGGTAAAATGCTCAATGAAGTACTTCTACACAAGAAGCCTCATGGCAGGATTGCAGCTTGTGGAATGATTTCCCAGTACAATCTTGCTAAGGAAGAAGGTTTACACAACATGTTCAGCCTCATCACAAAGCGCTTCGCGATGAAAGGCTTTCTGGAAACAGATTTCAGACACTTGTACCCAGAATACCTTGAGTTCATCATCAGATATTTGGAGGAAGGGAAGCTAGTTTATGTGGAAGACATAGCTGAAGGCCTTAAAAAGACTGCAGCTGCTCTAGTTGGGATTTTCTACGGCCACAATGTTGGTAAACAAATCATTTGTCTCTTGTGAGTCCAATTGATTTGTTCTTCCCCCAATACTCCAAGTTAAATCCAGAGGATCCTTCTTTTAGCAGAACAATCAACATTGTGTTTATGTGATAAACTATGATGTAGCTAGGTAGAAATAAAGCAGTTGTATGCCTCCATTTGTATTGAATCAGATGTTATGATGTAGCTAGGTCCTGTTCTTAGTGCCAAAATCTTTACAATATTGTATAAAACATCAACCATATTACAAACCAATACATTAATATTCTCAATAGTGGAGATTTTAAAAGAGTAACCCATCTGTGAATATTAATTCTAATTCTCAAAATATGTCTCTGTTTAAGATAAAATGACTCTAAAATTAGCTGAAATATGTTAAGACTTGGTAGTTTAGCATGGTCTTAAACTGTTCAAGTCTAATATAATATTTGGATAGTTTAACTAACATTATAGTTTAAAGATCATTTTTTTTTTTTATTTTTTTTTTATTTTTTATGTTTCATTAAAAATATAATTGGTAAATCACCTGATTTTAGGCATATACATATAATTTTTGAGATATTCTGAATATGTAAAGAGTAGATATTTATAATAAGTTCTTCCTTCTAAGGATATTATTATCTCTCATCATCAACGAATGAGAGTTTGAACTTAGATTATACGTCAGGATCCATTCAACTAAATAGATGTAATTAGGTGACCGCTAAAAGCAAATCTGCGGACTAGAAGAGCGTATTAACAAAGCTTTAATCTTTCAAAAGATTGAAGACTAAACAGGCAAAATGTGAAAAGAGATGGTGGAAATATAGGGCACCACTAATAAATGACAAGGAGTGAAAGTTGGTGGGGGAAAGTGTGAACAAAGATGCAGACGGTTGAAGACAAAAGATGTGTGTAACTTAAGTGAAGGGGCAAGTGAGAGAGAAGCCAGTCAACACGCTAACTAATCAATCAAACGCCATTAAAAGAGGAAAGACTTTGGCTGCTTACTAGTCTGTTTTCAAGTCAACAGAGTCAATTCTGATGAATAAACTAAACCAAAATAAAGACACTGTTGCAGTAACTGTTAATTAATTTCTTATATTTAGATTATTTTAGTGAAGTTTTTCTTTGGCTTGACTTGGAAAGGAGAGAAAAGTATTGACAGATGAAATGAACACGAAAGCAGGAAAGTTTCAATCTTTCTTATGATATTTCCTGGAAATTTCTGGGTTTCATATCATAATAAATTAAACCCATTTCCTCTGTGAAGATATAGTGGAGGCTCCTTAGATTCCTCAATACTTCTTGTAATCTTGTTATCAGGTGTGTTTTTGCCAATTTTCTCATCTGGGTATGTCTCAATTTAGCTTTTTATTGATTGTAGAAATGAGATAAATTTTTAAGAATCTGAATTTCAGTTGTGTTTTATGCTCCAATTCTGTGAAAAAATCTCCATTATTCTTTGTTTTGGGCATTTGGGGGCTTATTCTGAGGATTTTAAAAAAAAAAAAAATTAGATGGCTTTTTTGAGGAGGGTTTTGATTATTGGGGTAGTGATTTTGTTTTGTTGTAGTGTAAGCCTAGCCACTGTGACTGATATTCAGTGCTTGAAATCCATTAAGAAATCTCTTGAAGACCCTTCTAATTACTTGGGTTCTTCGTGGAATTTTAATAATAATACTGAAGGTTTCATTTGTAAGTTTGCTGGTGTGGAGTGTTGGCACCCTGATGAGAACAAAGTTCTTAATATCAGGCTTTCAGATATGGGTCTGAGAGGCCAATTTCCTCGCGACATCATAAATTGTTCAAGCTTGACAGGCTTAGATCTTTCCAACAACAACCTATCTGGGCCTATTCCTCCCGACATTTCAGCCAGACTCAAGTATGTGACGTCCCTTGATCTTTCATCGAACAACTTTTCTGGTGAAATCCCTACTGGTTTAGCGAATTGTACTTACTTGAATGTGCTTAAGCTCAATAACAATAGGTTTACTGGCAAAATTCCAATGGAACTTGGCCAGCTTAATCGGATCAAGGAATTTAGTGTTGCCAACAATCTATTGACAGGGCCAGTTCCTTTCTTTCAAAGTGATTCTATCACTGCTGAGGCCTATGCCAACAATCAGGGACTTTGTGGAAAGCTTTTGAGTCCCTGCCCTGGTGCTCCAAAGAAGTCTCGTGTTGGTATTATTATTGGGGCTGGCATTGGTGGAATAACTATTACAGCTGTTATCGTGGGCATCGTTCTGTATTACTTGTTGCATGGAGTGGTTAAGAAGGAAGATGATCCTGAGGGTAACAGATGGGCGAAAGGCATCGAAGGCGCCAAGGGGATCAAGGCAAGTCATTTGGTTCAATGTTCTGTTTGTTGTTATGCTGAATCTGCTATAGTATTGATACTTAATGAAACTGCCTATTTATAAACAAAGAATATTGTTGTTTTCAGGTTTCAATGTTTAAGAATTCAGTTTCAAAAATGAGGTTGAGTGATCTTATGAAGGCCACCGACAGCTTTAGCAATAAGAACATCATTGGAACAGGAAGAACAGGAACAATGTATCTTGGTTTGCTTCCTGATGGTTGTTCCCTTATGGTCAAGAGGTTGCAGGACTCTAGGCACCTGGAGAAAGAATTTGTGTCCGAGATGAATATACTTGGCAGCATTGAGCATCGAAACTTGGTTCCCCTTCTGGGTTTTTGCATGGCGAAGAAGGAAAGACTTCTGGTGTACAAGTACATGGAAAACGGGACACTTCACGAAAAACTACATATGGTGGAACCTGAGGTCAAAAGCTTGGAATGGCACTTGAGGCTCAAAGTTGCTATTGGAGCAGCTAGAGGTTTGGCATGGCTTCATCATAGCTGTAACCCCCGTATACTGCATAGAAACATAAGCTCTAAATGCATTCTCTTGGACAGGGAGTTTGAACCCAAGTTATCTGATTTTGGCCTTGCCAGGCTTATGAATCCAGTCGACACTCATTTGAGTACTTTTGTCAATGGGGAGTTTGGAGATTTAGGTTATGTAGCTCCTGAGTATCCTCGGACACTTGTAGCTACCCCGAAGGGTGATGTCTACAGTTTTGGGGTCGTTCTCCTGGAGTTGATTACAGGTGAGAAACCAACCCATTTGGCTAATGCTCCTGAGAGCTTCAAAGGAAGTTTAGCGGAGTGGATTGAACATCTATCGGATAACTCTGCTGTGGAAACTGCCATCGACAAGTCCTTGGTGGGAAACGGTTTTGATGGTGAACTCAACCAATTTCTCAGAGTTGCTTGTAACTGTGTGTTGCCAACTCCAAAGAAGAGACCTACCATGTTTGAAGTGTACCAGCTTCTGAGAGCTATAGGCGAGAAATATCAGTTCACAGCTGACGACGACATTATGCAGCTATCAAATACCGATGATGCTGAATTTCAGGATGAGCTTATTGTTGCTCCAGATGCAAAGTAGTTGGACACTAGGAGAGGTAATTTTTATACATGGTATGTATTATTTTTTGGCCTCAAGAGAAGGCAATTTGAAGATTAGTGGTGTTTTTGGTTGTAATTATATACAATTTTCTGCAGCTCAAGCATCTTTAATAGCCTGTTATGTTTAGATCATCAATTGTACATATTCAACATAACTATATGATGATACAATATTATCCTGATTGTTCTATTATTATTATTATTATTTTGAAAATTCACTTAAACTTCAAGTTTTTAGTATGATGGTAATGCGACTTACTCGAGAAGTGGCAGAGCCATGCAAACCCGAGTACGTGACCCTTAAACAGGTGCCCTGTATGGGGAATGTGTAAAACGTTATTTGCCAGAAAGTAGCGTCTCTAGTCTCTACTACACGCTTAAGCTTGCGGACATTAAGTTTGTTTATATAGTTACAGAATCAGCAGAGGATTTTCCCTACACATTGTTTTTCCAGATTCCTGAGTATTATTTCAAATATTGAATTCATCTATCAACCATCTTGCGTGGATTAAATAAATCTATATAGAGAAAAAAATAGAATTAAAACTTTCGGGAGGACTGAAAACTGGGAAATTCCACGTATAAAATTGATACAGCACTAAAATGTTCTACATGCAAGTACAAATCAGCCTGGTGATAAATGTCTTTTCTCTGGGGAAAATCTTAAGTTTCATCAAGGACAACTACAATGTCTATCTGAACTTCCAAATGCACATTGATCTGCCCCTTATGAAACCCAATATGGGATCGGAAATTTTACTAAAATAGCTTTAGCCTTTATTTCTACACAAGGAAATACAAATCAAACCTTAGTTGAGAAAGTTGGTCGAGTTAGGCAGCTAATCAGTATCTATAGGTAGAGGATATCCACGAAGGGATGTGGAATCGACACCTGACTCTCGCACCAACGCCACCCTCCCAGTCCGAGCCACCTTCATGAAAGAAAAAGTTTCTCTAAATAATTGCAAATATCTGAACAGTAGCATTCACCAACAACTTTGATAAGTGAGAGTATAAAAGTTATTACAAGCCAAGAAGCTATACAGTGTCGACAAGCTTATTTTTGACATCCGACAATACCCTAAACAACCACTAACACAAACAATTTTAATTGTTAAGGATTGGGCTTATGTCTCAAAACCAGCTCTATCCTCGCTGTTTTGAGCCAATCCAATTTGGTATTTGGGAACAGAAAAAAAAAAAAAAAGATTTCAGAAATGGGTGGCTCAACCAATGTCCAGCAAAATTCAGACCATTAAAAGACAATTCAACATCTGCTCCAATAACAGCAAAATTCATTTAATGAAACTTAGCAGAAAATTTTGAATCAGGGAACAGACCTCACAAATCCCATAGGTCTCCAATAACCTCTGCAATGCAATGATCTTATTCAAATCTCCTGTCAACTGTTATAGCAAATAGCTAAAGCTTTAGTAAAGCAAGGAAGAAAAAAAAATTAAAATGAGGGTTCGTATGGGTTAGCAATGACAATTAACAGGCAATCACTAGCATAGAAATAAATCAAGAGCTCTGGAATATCAGGTAATACTAGTCCCTCCATTTGGAGCTGCAGTCTAATAATTTTACATGAAGTTTATTAACATCTCTAATCGTAAAACATTAATGAATAGTAAATTTCAAAATAAGAAAAAGATTTAAATTCTAAAAATAAATTACTTCTTAATATAACAACTGGTCCTAATTCTCTTCTAAACCATTGAGCAAAGCAGTATAACACTCAGCCATCCATCTTGCCGGATTTCCATAGCCACTAACGTAAAAGCACCTCACTGAATGCCTTAGCCCTAATCTTAAAAGAAAACTCGACCAACTCAATTAATATTTTATCTTTACACTTATAAATGTACAGATGAAGCGCTACATTATATCAAACCGCTTACGGCCTTATCATTTTTCAGGGAAGTGAAACAATGTTTGGGCAATGGAAGAATTTTACCTCAAGGGTAATTGTGTGATCAGACACATCAACTGCTCTGGCCCGGAATATTTTAGCAATATCAAGGACATCCCTCCTGGCAGCAGTGTTCACAGCAATTTTTATCAACATCAACTCTCGCTCGGCAAATGGCAAGTTAGTGATATCCCGAACCTGAAGAAACAACCACCATTCTTGTTCAGCTGTTGCTCATTCAGATTATATATATAAAATAGGAAATATATTAACAGCTAAGTTGAGGGCTGATTTGCTAGCTGGAGATTTAGGCAGCCCTGGAAGAGCTCATAAAGAGGATTGATTTGGTAGCTCTTCCTCCAATCTACCATATTAACATAAGAATCCAAAAGTATGTCAAATATTCTTGTAGTGACAAGATCGAAGTAGAAATGTGAGATAGAATTATATTAGATATAATTATTACAATGATGCCAATTATTTACTTGCCTGTAGAGGATTTTATTTCGCTGTTGCAATTTTATTTAATGTGGGATGACGTATCTTTTATAGTCCAGAGCATGGACCTATGATTTCATTGGAAGATTGATAGCTAGACGGATTGGGGATCATGCAGGCTGCAGCCATCTTTCTGTGAGAAATAATTACTCTTAAAATTCGTAGGAGGATGACAATCATTTAACAAGAGAATCTTCAAGTATTTTCTCTAGTAAGACTTTGTGTGGTGGGTGAATGATCCTTTCATTCCTTATTTTTCTCCTTTCAGAAATATTAGGGAGGCTAAGAGTATTAAAATAATCAAAGTTTGCCAACAGATTCTAGCTCACGGCCAGAAAGTAAATACAAGCACCACGATACAAAAGAGAAAACCAGCACATTTTTTTGCCTCCCATTTGGTGAGTAATGTACAAGAAAGACACAGAAAGAACTGAAATTATTTCTTCTCTTTCCTACAGCAACAAAGTTGTGGCAAAAACTCTTTACAACTACTAAATTGTCCAAGTGTGCCACGACTCACCTTTCTTTAATTATTGAAATGTTTAGCTTCACATTTTTATATGGAAGTGTGGAATATCCACTATCTGTGGATTTTATGGTTGGAAAGAAATTAAAGCTTCTTTGATGAAGCTCATATGAAGATTGTTTATGGAATAAATCTCACCTTCTTGAAAAATAATGTTTGTGTTTGTGTCTTGGTATGATTTGAAATCAAATTTAAGGGAGCTGAAATCGAGGAATGTTAGCTCTACCATATGCTGAAAAGAATTAGAATGCTTTTAGAAGATGTAAATTGAGTAATCCTTGCCCCATGAAGATCTATTAACTTGTGCAATTGCTGAACCAACTGGCCAATTGACTCATCAGTTCCTGGAACTACAGTTGTGATGCGAGAGAGACCCTCCATTTCAGCTGGCCCTACGGCTAGACTCTAAAAGAGAAGTGACCAAAAAAATCACCTCATCAATAAGTCATGCAATTTGGAAGAAGAACAGTAGGAGCAAAAACCAATACAAACCCGACCTGAATGTTATAACCTCTTCGAGATATAACCCCGGTGACTATGTTGAGAACTCCAGGAGTGTTGTTGACAAGCATAGTTAAAGTGTGTGACCGAAATCCACTTGACTGTATTGTAAAAATAATAGAATTAGAAATGCAGCACAAATGCGGAGGAATCATGTAATGGTATACCATCGGTGAGTCATGTGAATGGTGCTTTTTGAGGCATAAAAAAATTAATTATTTATGTTCAATCAAGACTAAATAGGAAAAACCACAATCAATAGGGTCTTGACAGAAAGGCATCTTACATCTTCATCATAGAGCACACCCCAATGAGCATCAAGAATCTTCATAGGATAGTCATCATAAGGCTCTACAGGATATACATCACCCTTCAAATAAGAAATGAGAGTTTACAGAATGTTCAAGAAGATATAGCAATTATCTATGGTGAAAAAATAACATATAGATACCAAAAAGAAGAGTTCCGAACAATCATGGATATCCAATAGAGCTTGAAAGATGAAAAATATGAACATAAAAAAGATTCAGAAATATATACCCCCAAAGATGTACTTGTATTCCCATTCAGTGATCCATTATTTTTTGGTACAACAGCACCATTTGGCACAGCACTTTCGAGATCTGGATATGAAGCTGCAGAAAAGTTCCAGAATGGAGCTGTCTCGCCCATCTTTTCCCGTCTCAAAGCAATCTGTACATGGAGAGGATAAAAAATTACCATGGATAAAGGTATTATAATAAGATAAAACTTCAATTGATGGTCACGGTAACACCAAAATAATATTGTAAATTTTCAATTTTAGATATTATTAACAGCAATTGTGCCATTTCAATACCAATTCATCAGGTGTGATGTAGGCCAAATGATCCCAGACGCTACCATTTTTTCTTTTAGCGCGTGGTCTATACAGTGGAAGACAGAAAATTGTTTAGAAGTTGGAATCATATCGGATTTCATGGGTAAACAAAACCCGATTGGTTGATTTATGGTGTTCTTGCTCCTTACTTCAATATAAGAAACTCTATGTATGTGATTATGACTTTTCTTTTTAAGAAATTGTAAACTATAGTAAAGAAAATTAATAAGGTACAGTGAACTAAATATCTAAGAAGAAATCAAAAAACACCAGGGAAGGGGTAACAAATCTATGAAAAATGGAAAGAAATGTTTCGTCTATGTTAATCTTCCCTTCCCTGGACCAAAGGAAAACAAGCCATCAAAATTTAGAGCAAAACCTCTTCCCAATTGAGATATATAAAGAAAAAAATAAAGAGTCCTGAAATCCCTTTGAAACTCAAGAGGAGGAGATACAAAAAGGCCAACTCTATTCCACAATCTGCCACTGATATCAAGTCTTTTCTTCACAAAATGCATGAGTGTTATTTATTGATGTAGAAGAGCTTTGGTTGCAACAAGCATGTTCTCTGAAATTTAAACTAATAATGCACAGCTTGGGCAAATTTGTACAATTTTTTGGATAAATTCATTTGTACATCTCAGGAAAGGATACAACAATATGGATATTATACCTTTCCAGTTCTTGCAAGTTCTTTTATTCCAAACTTTCTCAAGTTTCTCTGAACAGCAACCATCTTTCCAGGATCTCCAGTGACCTGATACATACAAAAGGACAGAAACTGACTCTAAGAGAATGATCTGAACAGAAAAACTGTTGAAATATATATTAAACTGTTGAAATATATATTAAACTTTCTCATCAAGTACTTAAGTTTGTAGTGTTCATAGGTAATGGCATAAATGACTAAGCATTTAAAGGAATAAAAAAGCCATCCCACTGCCAATTCCTGTTTCTACATCTCTAAGATCAAAAACAGTTTCGAAGTAAGAGCAACAAATGTAGGATGATGACTGAAGCATACAACCAGTACAAGAATCTGAGAGAAGTTACCTCAATGGTCAGAGAGTGTTCAGAGGTATCAACAACTTTTGCTCTGAAGATGTCGACTAACCACATGATCTAAAAATTAAGGTTCCAAAAAGAATCAGGTGCTTGGATGAGGAAAAGATTTTTTTAAGCAAAGTAAAAGGAATTTTCCCACTATCCATGAGATAGAAAATGATCACCAACTTATAGAACAAAAGAAACTTTTCTGCAACTGAAAAAATTGAATATAACAGGGTAAGAAACATTTGGTACTCCTTACAATTCAAACCTACTAAGACAAAGCAACAAGCTGCATATGCAAGACACAGGCTCACCCAGGTGAGACTCACCCTAAAGCAAACAACAGATTATAGTAAGGTTTAAGAAAATCAACCCTTTGATGATTTTGAAGTTTCCAAAATGGGCATAATCCATTGGATCAATTAATTTATGATTTAAATTATTCTTCAGAAGAGTCAATAAACATACTGCATTATTACCTCAGGACGGGTAGTTGGATCAGAATTAAGTTTTATAAGCATTAGTTCACGTTCGACTTGTGGCTCCCTTGAGATATCTTCCACCTGATAAAAGTCGAAGTTATTGAGAAAAATGGGGATTAGCAAAATAAACAAAAATGAGCATACCAAAACAACATGTAATGTGTTAGAAAAGTAATTAAAAAAAAAAAAAAAAAAATTCAGAGCCAATGCAGGTAAAACTTTGGAAGTTTCCTTTTCTACCAAGTTTCACTAAAAAATAAGATGCATTGTGAGCAATGTTTAGATGAACACCATAAAGGAAATTCATGAAAAGAAAAGGGTTAGCTTCAACCTTTGTGACATTCACAAGTTTGTTAAGTTGTTCCACTACTTGTCGCAAAACCCTCTCTGTTCCAGAGACAACTATGGTAAAGAGAGCCTTGTCCTCATTCAAACCCACTGCAAGGGACTCAATATTGTAACCCCGCCTAGCAAACACCCCAGCAATCCTGTTTATTATTCCACTCTCATCACCAACAAACAATGAAATTTTGTGGCGTTTCACCCTGAATTGAATCAAATGCGTGTTAAAAACTGAATTCAGCATAAGAAACATGCACCTAGAATAGAGTAAGAAAAAGAGAAGCTATAAGAGATTCTCTCCACCAATTTCTTCCTCTTAGAAAAATAATAAAATCACTGAGACCAGAACTAAAATTCAAAATTATGATATTCACCAACAATATATTCTCTCACACTTACCAATCATGGACCAATATAATGTAACTAGGATGCCAAACTCCAATTTTTGCCGAGAAAATAGTCTCATAACTTTAATATAAAACTCAAATTCCAATGAATATCAATCCATTTATTATAACTACAACCCCAATCAGTGAGGGAAAAAAAAAAAAAAAATACTAAACCATTGTAGAAAAACTAAAAAAAATACTAGTTTTACGAAGAGAAATACAAAGAGGAGCATACATAGATAAATCCTGCCCTTAAAAATAGGGAAAGAGAGAGAGAGAGATAATTATGAAGATTAAGAACAGGATTTATCTTTGTATGCCGTGAGCCCCTCTTTGTATTTTTCTTTGTAAGATTAGTAGTTCTCAAAAACTAAAATATATGCACAAAATAATCCCAAAAAAAATAAAAATAAAAAAATAAAATCTTCACATAGATGAGTAAGACAATGAAATTAAAACAAAGAAAACGAAATAAACAAACACAAGTAAAAATAAATAAAAAATCCAAGAGTTGAGAAAACAAGAACAAACAAAAGAGAAGCTAAGCTAAGCTAAACCACCATTAGAGAAGACAACAAAACCAGAGGAAATGAAGAAAAGACTGGACTTTGAGCTTGAGGCAGTGGAGACGGCAGCAGGAGTGTGAGAGAGAGGGAGAGCACTGTGGGTGGCGCTGGCGGTGACCAAATGGAGCTTCTTTGAAGGGACTTGAAGTGCTACACTAGCTGCAGAGTTTGTCCTCGTTCTCACAAATGGCAAAAGCTCAGAGCTTCTCTTTGAAAACCCAGCTCCGGAATGCGGTTTGGGATAGGGGGCCAGAGCAGCCGCCATGAGTTTCTGGTTTTTGGTTTTCGAGAAAAGAATGAAGAAATAGAGTTCACTTAAGTTGTCAGAGTCACACCCAAGAGCAGAGCACAATTTGAGACGGCCAGTCTCAAGAAGATCAGGAAGGACAGAAAGAATTTGAAAGAGGAAAAGTTGTGTGTGTAATAATCGTGCCTGTTCTCCTCATACATTCCATGATATAGGCTTTTACATACACGTAGATGTAAGACAAAATAAGCATCTAAGACAAAATAGGTTATGTCAGCCCAAAGGCAAAAGACCATATAATGAACCCTAACAATATTACGCTACTATTAAGTAGCAATACTAACAGTGCACTCTATGAACCTATGGAACCATAACAGAAGATTTTTATAAACAATAATACTGGGTTTACAATCTAATTTCACAGCTTTCGACATAACAGTTTGTAATTGATCAGCTCGCAAACAAGGGCGGATCCAGGTCACTTTTGGCCCACCCTCAATTTTATTTTAAAAAATACTAATATATATAATTTTTGGATTTTGGCTCACTCTAACAAAAATATTAATGGACAAAAATATTAATATATAATCAGTTTTTATTCTGGTCTACCCTAATAAAAATTTTTAGATTCACTCCTGCTCGCAAATGAATAGGCAGGACCCACAACAAGTAAACATGACCCATATTTGTGAGCATATATATATATATATATATGGAATAAGTTTATAGAGAATATTATTATAATTTGTCACAATTCTACAACATGATCTTAACATATTATGTCAGAATTTATAATTAAATTTACACTTTAGTGTTGCCTCAAATAGAAAAGAAATATATATAAGGGTTAGTGTGGGATCTGTGATGAGTCAAGAACGTGGTCTCCATTGAAAGAGACGAGAGGAGGAGACAAAGGGAGAGCATGTGATGACTGATGAGAAATAAAGAAGGGGGGATTGAAGACCATAAAATAGGAAGGATTCCCAAATTCAAATGAGTAGGTTTTTGGAACTTTAATTTCTTTCATTAATTTCTTCAATAATATTTTATTTTTGAATTCCAAAACAGATTTTATTACTTTGGAGCTAATAGACGAAGAAGAAGACATTGATGGGTGATGGCAACTCTGGAACTATCCATGTGAGTTTTGGTATAAGCGGTAATTTTGCCAACAAATTCATTCATTGCGATTTTGAATTCTACTGTGTGGGATCATGCCACTTAATGAAATGTTTTTTTACATTATATTTACGTATGTTTAATAAAATTTAATCGTTTAATTCTACCGTATAACAACAGTACGCAGAAAACTTTCTTACTTCATTAGTTCATGAATTCATGAACGAGTTTAGTTATTATCGACTAACTAAACTATATATATATATATATATTATTTTATTATATCTAAGGGGGATTATTGTTACTAAGTCTATAATTTCAAAATATTTAATAATTTCAAAAATTAGTTAATATGGACGGGCGTCCATAAAGATGGACGCCCGTCCATAAACTTTGGACGGGCCTCTATTGTTTTTTTTTTTAAACAAAACAATTTGGACGTACTCCACTTCTTCTTCTTCATGGCCTTCCATGGAGCATAGTCCTTACTTTAAACAGAAAGCATCCAAAGCAATCCACCTTCTCAGCTAAGTTACCTAACTGAACTTGAAACTTTGGCTTATTTTCTTTAACCTGGGTCTGACTGCTTGACTCACTAACCTTCAAGTCTTCCTCCATCAGATCATCCTCCAAGGACAAATCTGCAGAGAACTCATCAGGAATCCTCTATTGGAAAAGTTTCTCCCTTTTTCAGCTTCTTGTGGTGGTCTTTCCTAGCTTTACCTTCTGCTGGGTACTTCACCATCAGACCAATATTCTGTTCTTTCTCTGCTTCAGTCTGTATTTCCCTATTCATTGAACCCAAGACTAGACTAAGGGCAAAGAGAACTACCTTTGCTCCCTTCATCCAACTTATAGGATGGAACTCGGACTCCTAACTAAACTCTCTTCCGATTGTCCCGATTTCACTGCCTTGGTTCTTAACTGCCAACTCCTTCTTAAGCGCTTTCGGGAAAGGAAGGAGGCATTGGAGAGAAGTGGGCATGGTGGCCAAGATTCGGTAGTCAAAGTCATACCAGTCTGAAGGCAGGAACGGAGTCAGAGTCAGCTCTGGAATGAGGGCATGCAGAGAAGTGGGCATGCAGAGAACGTGGCATGCTTAGTGCTGGACGTGACGAGCAGGAATACGGCTGTTCTGGTTAATGCTGGACGTGACGAGCAGGAATACGGCTGTTCTGGTTACACCTTTGCCAAGCCCGGCTTAAGGGGTAGGCAGGTGAGGCGCCTGACTAGGGCCTCCCAAAAATAGAGGCCCAAATTTTTTATAGTTTTTTTTTAATATATTAAAAAATAAAAATAGTGTATGATTTTTTATGCAAGCCAGGAAAAAAAAAAAGATCCAAATTTATTATAAACTTTTTACATATATTCTCACTCAAAGTTTGACGAAATAACAAGTTTGTACCTCTAATTTTATATATTCTAATTTACACCCCTAAATTAACACATTGAATTCCTTTTAACAATAAAAGACTAAAATAGTCATTTACATGTCTCAAATTACTCTACCTCAATTCCATCCCAAAATTCGACATTTACATAAATCATCTCCACCCTTCTTTCGTTGCCAGCCGTTTGGAGCTGATTCCGATAAATTTTCTCACCAAAATTGACTGGAATCATCACTTTATCATATCCTAAGTGTTTTTCCAACTTTGATAGCCCTCGATTTGGCTGATTTTTTACAAATCTCATAACCCAACTCCACCACACACGACAACCATTTTTCGGCCTTTTCAGCATGTACCCGACGTTATTGGCCTTCCCCGACATCACCATCACCATCACCATCACCATTTTCCTCCCCCCAACCCTCTCACCAAAATCCCTATCATACCTCATCTGTTTACTCCGTCAATCACCAGCCACCGATATGTTTTGGATTGCGACTTCTTAAGCCTTTTGTGGCCAATCCGGGCATTGAAAATTACCTATTTCACCACCCATCGCTTCTCCAACCTCTGCTCTCCAAAACCCCCCACCAATCTGACCCCGTTAGCCTGCCAATCGCTGTCCACTTCTCCTAGTGATTTTGCATCTCAAAAGGCAAGAAAATAAATTTGAAATAATTTTTTTAATATATGCTTATATTATTAGAAGGTCCTAAAGTAACTCTTGCTTAGGGTCACAAATGTTCTTGAGACGGCTCTGACCTTTGCCTGTTAACCTCTATTTTAGAACTTGTATTCTCTTGCCTGGTCGATATGATGGTGGGTTTGGAAATCAAGCGGAAAAGAAATGTATGGAAATGGCTGTTGTTTGGGTTGTTGGGATTTTTGTTTTTTGGTTGATCCTTTGACAGCCAGTTGTTGTAACTGGTCTATTAATCCTGTATTTGCCTTTTGATGCTATTGTGTGGGATGTTTATTATCTTCCTCAGCAATTTTTATGGGGTGAGAGAAGAAGGTAAAAGCAATATTAAAACCACCAAATGAAACCAATATTAAAAGCAAAACTGAAGGTAACCAACCGGGGTGAGAGAAGAGAAGGACCCAGCCATTGCCGACGTAGTCATGGATCTTCATCTATCCTTGGGTGGTTTCGACATCAAGGTTGGGACAGGTATCTCCAATTGTAAGGCCTGGCATTTTCAACTCACTCTGTAACTTCAGCTTTCCTTTGAAGTGATCTGTTAAAAAGAGTTGACGACATGTTCCCACCCAAAAGAAAAAAGAGTTAATTCAGTATGGATGGCCGTCCATATTTAATGGACGCCCGTCCATACTTAATGGACGGGCGTCCATTCCTCATGGACGGCCGTCCATACTTAAGGGACACCCATCCATAATTTATGGACGGGCGTCCATATATTTTTTGTTTTTATTTGTAAACCAAATTCTGGACAAGGGTCCATTCTATACGGACGAGCGTCCTTTATTTGCGGATGCTCGTCCAAAATTAAGGGACGGGTGTCCATTAACATATGAACGCCCGTCCAATATGTATGGACGACCGTTCATAACCTATGAACGGTCGTCCCTAATTTTTTTTAATATTTTTTATTTCATTTACCAATGGACGGGACGCCCGTCCGTGGTAAATGGACGGCCGTCCATATGTTATGGACGGCCGTTCATTAGAAAAAAATTATTAACGTAAAACGTGTTGAATGATCTGAGTCACCAAACACGTAAGCCGGTACAAAATTTCGGTGTAAAAACACCGGTGTCTATAGCATTGTTGATTAGAATATCCCTAAAGATGACTAAGGGCTTAATCATATAAAAGTTAAATTAATTAATTTCGGCCACATGAAAGCATATCCTTTTTTATGCGGGACATCAGTAGACATAAATAAAATAAAACCTCTCTATAGTGATACTCTATATAGGAATAAACTTTACATAGTCATAAAAAATTCTAGTCTCAATTTGGGATAGTTATAAATAAGAATAAACTCTAGAGTGTAATAAGTTATAATTTTTTTAATTCCCGTCTTAAGAAAAGTTGCCTCTACATAGTAATAATTATCTGTATATTACCAAAAAATATATGTTATATTACATTAAAGATTTAAGACAAAATAAAATATTTATCTAAAGTTGTTTAGAACAATGATTTATATTTTAGAGTTGTTACTACATCTTTTACCTTGCTAGAACGTAATAACTTGCTAGCATGAACATCTTCTTATTGAAACCAAGATATTTTTAGCTTCTCAAGCATGTTTAGAGCTCCATGGCATGAAACTTTTTGTATTTCCCTACTATCATCTTTAGGATTATTTCCTCTATCTTCTTGTCTAACTATACCAATGATTTCTTCTTTGATTAAAATATACACAATTTGTTGTTCACTTAGATGATCGAGAAAGATATTAATATCCATTCGATTAGTGTAGTGAAATTGTCGAATCTAATCACTTAATTTTGCAATGACTCTTTTATTTTCTTGTCAAATCTGATCACTCAATTTTATAATGACTCTTTTATTTTCCTCGTCCACTTCATTTGTAACTTG